GGTGAGTGGGTGAGTGGGTGGTTTGAGTGAGTGGGTGAGTGGGTGAAGTGGGTGGAGTGGTTGAGTGTGAGTGGGTGGTTAGGTGAGTAGGTGGTGAGTGTTGAGTGGTGAGTTGGGTGAGTGGGTGGTTGAGTGGTTGAGTGGGTGATTAGGTGGTTGAGTGAGTGGTGAGTGGTGGTTAGGTGAGTGGGTGATTGGTGGTTGAGTGAGTATGTAGTGGGTGGTGGTAGTGGTGAGTGGGTTGAGTGGGTGGGTGGGTGGGTGGTTGAGTGGTTGAGTGGTTGAGTGAGTGGGTGGGTGAGTGGGTGGTTGAGTGGTTGAGTGGGTGGGTGAGTGATACACAGATCACACGTGAAGGCACGATTATGGTGAGAAGTACTTGACGTTGGCGAGTGCCTTGACTTTTGCGGCGGCGAGGAGCGACTGCGCGGCGATGCGGTGGCTTGAGGGCGATCTCAGGTGGGAGCGTATCCTCAGGACGTCGAGGCGGACGACGGCGATGTGCAGCAGGTAGAGAAAGGAGAGGGACCAGAGGGCTAACAACAGGTGGGAGAATGGCTCTCTGGTTCTCCACAAATACATGTCACACTGAGCAAACAGCTTTTCAAAATGTTTGGAGTGAAGGATTTTGTGCAGCTGTGTCTGGAAGTCAAAGCACTTCTTCGTAGACTCTTTATCACAAAGCGTCCATGGTATACCAAATTTAAATCCATACCTATACAACGTTGGTGATACCCCTTTGCAAGCAAGTAAGGACGGACACTGACATGATGCATCTTGTTTACCGTGCTCTCCTCTCCTACATTTATCGCCATGCATACAATTATGACATCCCCAGTCCTGGCAGAAAATAGCTTCGAATGCCTTATATAAACATTCAAGGTAATCGTACAATGCCCACGGCAGATAAAGTGCCCAAGATAGGTATGTGCCAGAGTGCTTCCGGGAAAGGTAACTGTATTGATCGGTGCATAGAGCGGATAGGTAAGGAGCGCAGCGCACATCGGCAACGTTACATGGTATTGCCATACAGATACTAGACAAATCAGCATTTGTAAGTTCATCGTGCTTTGCTTTAGGAGGTGTAGTCGGATGCTTAGTACTATCATGACTACTCTGGCTGCTACCGTAGGCATCACAAAGTGCATTGGTAAGGTCGCTGGGTGGGTCATAGAGATGGATGGAACGATCCTTGATGGATTGTTCAAATACACATTGAAACCCATTTTTCACTAATGTCGTTGAATCAGCTTGCCATCCCCTTACCAGCGACAGCACAAAACTGAAGTGCTCTGGTAAGCTAGACGGCGGTCTGGACACAATGGAGAATATGCACGAAACATCGTAGAAATTAAGGAACGCATCGATGATTCTGCAGAGATCTTTCCCCGTTTTGGTGGATCCTGAGAACGCTCTAAAGCCTAATGGAGTAAGACACGGCATACCATTCCTGGAAGTGGAAGGGCACGTAGAACATACAGTCTTACAGCCAACGTTTGTCAACTGGTGTGGTAGGTGCCCAGGAAGAGTGTCAGTGAAAAAGCTCATTAAAGGTGAAGTAGGTTGGCACTTAGGTTGACAAGTTGGTTGGCACTTTGCTTGGCAATTTGGTTGCTCATTTGCTTTGCCCCTTGGGTGGTCCTTACATTGCCAGTTTGCCGGTGCGACAGACTTGCCGTATGCACAGTCGGCCCATCCGTAGATGGATGCTGGATGACCACATTGGCCTTCCAAGAATCTAAACACGGTGAACAATCGGCGGAGGATGTCGAGTAACATGTCGAGACACTCGGCAGGGTTGGATGGATACTTCAATCGAAGCGCATTATTGGAGAAGTCAGAGGCATAGACAGTATGCTCGTCCCCTGTGCCGAGGATGGTGGTAAGGAGATTATGTGAATTATCGCAAAGATGTTGAATTATTTGGAAGACATTGTGCGCTGTTAATATGGAAGATGTTTCGAGTCTTAGATCTCTGGGATCTATCTCGGAGTATTCCTTTGTCTTTTGCGTCTCCGGCTTAGCGCAATACGTCTTTATGTAATCCTCGAGTTTGCTGTGCATAGGATTATGTAAGAGGCCGTTGAGCCAAACCAACTGTTCGTAGACATTGCATGGCGGCCTAGGTGCGTTGTTAATTTCAAGGTGGCAGGTACGGAAGTATGTACTTAGGTGGGCGAAAAGCTTTGGGATGACACCATCTTCGTTTACAAGCTGTATTGTCAGCTCATCAGTGTCCTTAGGAATTATATCGGATGCCTTATGTGACATATCACTTGTATCAAACAATTTATGTGCTCCCTCTGTAAGATGACCAAGAATGCGGGCACCGTTGCATTCCGGTTTGTGATTCAATTCACCGTGTTTGGCGCCGACGGGAACATCAATATCGTAACCGTGCTCTTTAAAGAAAAGTCTATGTAAGCTATGGTGAGATTTCTCGGAATTATATATTTTGTAATTATTCCAGTTAGGTTTATTTTCAAGTTTTTCTTTAAGGTCACCTAATGCGCTAGCGAGGATGGGAACTGTGGTAAGAAACGCTTTGGCGCAGTACGTTGTTTCGGGATTATTTTCACTGTCCCACTGGATCGCCGTTGCACCCTCGTAGACGTTTAAGTAGGCCTTGGACATCTCTCGGGAGAATAGTGTCAGAGCCTCTTTGACGGGGAATAAGAGAGCTTTGGGGGCGTCCGTGAACGTCTCCGCTTTGAAGTCAATGAGCGAATTGTCAAACATCTCCCGTCTTTTAGTGACTTCGTGGTCGAAATGCGCTGAGTTGATCATTTGCTGGAGCAATTTGTTCAGACTTGTGGAGACGCTTGTAACTTTTTCGGCGACTGGGTTAATTTCTGTCTGTCCGGACAAGTTATCCAAAAACCCATTGAAGCCTATGTTGACTTTTAGGGCGGCTTGGCTCAGTGGAGATGTCGGAGTAAAGGACGTTGGAGAAATATTACCAATGCCTTTAATAGTCTCAATAAAATGTTTCTCGAATCTCAACATGAAGCCTTTAAATCCAATATATTTGTCGTCTTCTATCTGTTTGGGTAAAGGTGTTAGCTGCTCAGTCACCCTGTCTGCAAACCGCTGCAGCAGCAATTTCATGGTAGTGACGTACTGCTTATCGGCTTGCGTGGTGATCTGCTTAGTTGCGTAATCCACTTTCTCGTCCACGTATTTTGTGAGGCTGCCGATGGTTCGCTCGCCGGCTGCCTTGGCATATGTTTTGATGAATGCTTCGGCCGCCGTAATGGGACCGTGCAAGAGAGTGTTTTGTAGATTATTCAGTTTAGTATAAAGGTCCTGCATATTGTTCTCCTTGCCTCTCAAAGTCTTGCCGATCCTCCTTCGCAACTCGTACAATTTATCTTTCAGGTTGCCCTGACCTGTTTCGGTAGCTTGCTTAATTGCGTCGCACATGGCTTTAAGGGTGGAGGTTATTTCTTCAAGTTTCTTTTCAGCATCACGTTGGAAGTCGTTAATGTCGGTGAGCGCACCGGTCACACTGGTTTCAATTTTCTTGATCACAGGGGGGAAAGTGCCTTCGTCTGGATTGCCGGTTAGCACAGCGTCTTGGATTTTAAGCTTCGGATTCTTCTGGTTAATCAGTCCACTGTAGTCCCCGAAATGAGTTTTATGAGCTTTAGTTACTTTACCATAATTATCATCCTTCCCAATCTCCGCTTCCAGTATGCCGAGGATCCTGCCGTCATAGCTGTACTTATGATCGCCTTGCTCGTCGGTGGGAATGGGTACTACGGATACTCCGAGAACCGCCGGCTTAGTCGCCTGTTTGAGATCAAGGCCTAGCTGGTTGGCTACATTAAGTGCTGCCTCTACGTGTTCGCTCATTGTGGAATCATCGGTAGTAAACGAATGAACTGCCTCACCAGCTTTCCTGGCCGCACCAACGAGCTGGTGGAGTGTTGAAAGGACGGCACGATTTAGATTAGGGTTCACAGAATGATCTCCTGTCAACAGTCTCTCAACCTCTCTAGCTATCTTGTCAGCAAACGCATCAAATGTGCCCGTCTTAAGCTGCTCGGCAACCTCATCCGCAAACGTATTGCAAATAACCTGGATAGCAGTAACGCTCTCATCTACACTGTCCTCCTCTACATTGTCTAATGCTTTTAATGCTTGGAATGTCTTAGGAATTTCGCCGCTGAGATTTGTTATAATCTGTTGCTTGATTGGTTTATGCAACGCTGTGTCTTCCCCACTCAACAGTTCCTGCTTGCTTTTCGTAGTCAACTCACCCTTTTTGGTAGCATCGTAATACTTCCCCAGCCACCCCTTGACTGGCTCCGCCTTCAGAATATCATCGATCCAGTCCTCCAATACGTTCTGCTTTAAACTATCTTCCTCTTTAAACTTCCCAGCCCACGCCTTCACTTTCTTTACAATCTGTTCCAGACCATCACTCCCTCCATTACCCCTAATAATCTTCTCCACCTTCCCTTTAATATCCCCCAGCAACTGATCCTTAACATAATTCTTCAGCGCCCCTTCAATCCCATCCCTCGTCTGCTTCAACCCGGTCCTCACTGCTCTGTCCAAGACTAGAACCTTCTCAAGCGCCGTAGTAACTTCCGCGACAACGTTCTTTTTAGCCGCCTCCCCCGCCCTATGAAGGGCATCTGCACTTGACTTCAACAGGATGGCAGTGGTTTCAAGTTTCTTCTTTTTATCTGCAGGGCTTGCAACCTCAGCCAATATGGCGTCGACTTTCTTTAACGCATCTTCCACAACGCCATCCGCCTCCCTGCTCCACCAGTCTAAATCTCTGACGCACTGCTCCAGCGTTGCATTAATCTCTTTTAGTTGCTCCAAAATTTTCTTAACTTTCTCTTTCAGAAGTTTAACAAGCTCTTCAACGTCTAATTTAATTTTCCCATTCACATCATCTCTAACCTTAGTAAGAGTCTCACTGACTTTTTTAGTCATAGCGTCTAGATCACTCTTCTGCTTTGTAGACAATTCACTAAATCTCTCGAATTCCTGCTCAACTGTCTTAACAGCATCGCTAACATTATTCTTGCAATCCTTATTTAAATCACTAATTGCCTTAAACTTCTCTTCGCCATATTTCAAAGCTTCCAGTAATTCTTTTGTGAACCTGATGGAATCTCTGCACTTGGCATCCACTTGGCCCTTGGCCTTCACAACCTCCGAAGAAACATCCTCATGGCTTTTTAAAATTTCACCAACCTGGTTTCTAAAACTCTCGTCGACATTTTTTAACCACGTTTCTACCGGTTTCCGCGCCCTCTCATCGTTAATCTTCTTCACGGATTTGTTGTACACAGCGACATACTTGGTCACATCGCGGATGATAAACTTAAAGCCTACATGTCCAGAGCATAATTTAGGCTGAAGAACATTGTAAACAAGATGTTCTAACCTAGGTTTACCAACATTGTAAGGCTGTTTAGTGTGGACATCTTTAAGAACTCCATGAAGGAAAGACATCACCCCGTCGGCCAGCCTGTCAAGGTCCGAGTACACGATTCCCTCTCCGGTGTAATTACCATTACTGAAGCCGAGAAATTTTTCGAGGCCTGTACAAAGGTTATTTAATAATGTTGTTGAAGGAATATTTTAGGCACATTTTCAGGGCGATTTAGGGGAATTTGGGGAAAGGCGATTTTAGGTCAAGGAGGCACCTAGGCAGTGAGGGGGTGATGGAGGTGGGTGGACAGGGTGTGAGGGAAGTGAAGGGGCGAAAGAGGGCGATGGAGGAGGAAGATGGGTGGAGAGAGGCGATTTTGGAGGTGGAGGGGGAATGTGGAAAATGAGTGTTTGGGTGAAGGACGCCGACGGAGGAGGTGATGGAGGGGGTGAAGGCAGGGAGCGAAGCGACCAGTGAAGGAGGGAGGTGAGTGAGTGGTTGAGTGAGTGGGTGAGTGAGTGGGTGGGTGAGTATGTGGTTGGGTGGTTGGGTGGGTGGTTGAGTGAGTGGGTGAGTGAGTGAGTGGGTGGTTGAGTGGTTGGGTGGTTGAGTGAGTGGGTGAGTGAGTGGTTGAGTGGGTGAGTGAGTGAGTGGTTGAGTGAGTGAGTGGTTGAGTGGTTGAGTGAGTGAGTAGTTGAGTGGGTGAGTGAGTGGGTGGGTGAGTGAGTGGGTGAGTGAGTGGGTGGTTGAGTGGGTGGTTGAGTGAGAGGGTGAGAGGGTGGTTGAGTGGGTGGTTGAGTGGTTGAGTGGTTGAGTGGGTGGGTGGTTGAGTGGTTGAGTGGTTGAGTGGGTGGGTGGTTGAGTGGTTGAGTGGTTGAGTGAGTGGGTGGTTGAGTGGGTGGTTGAGTGGGTGGTTGAGTGGGTGGTTGAGTGGGTGGTTGAGTGAGAGGGTGAGAGGGTGGTTGAGTGGTTGAGTGGTTGAGTGGTTGAGTGGGTGGGTGGTTGAGTGGTTGAGTGGGTGGGTGGTTGAGTGGTTGAGTGGGTGGTTGAGTGGTTGAGTGGGTGAGTGGGTGGTTGAGTGGTTGAGTGGTGAGTGGTGTGATTAGTGAGTTGGGTGGGTGAGTGGGTGAGGTGATACACAGATCACACGTGAAGGCACGATTATGGTGAGAAGTACTTGACGTTGGCGAGTGCCCTGACGCGTGCGGCGGCGAGGAGGGACTGCGCGGCGATGCGGTGGCTTGAGGGTGATCTCAGGTGGGAGCGTATCCTCAGCACGTCGAGGCGGACGACGGTGATGTGCAGCAGGTAGAGCAAAGAGAGCGACCAGAGGGCGACCAATGTCAGGGAGAATGGTTCTCTGATTTTCCATAAGAAATTGGGAATTGTCTCGTAAATTAATTTCGCTAGCGCTGCGCGGTCTTCTTTCTTTTTACTCAGCACTCTGTCCAGTGCCTGGCATAGGTCTCTACACGTGCGCTTAGTCTTCTCTCCACGCTCACCGCTCATTCGCCATG